ATAGCAAACACCACATTGATTGAAATGTAATTTCTATTACCACTGCTAAATGGTATTTTTGCATGCAAGGTGGCGTTTTGGTAAACAAAGCTTTTGTACAGTGCCTATAACATATTATTGCACATTTTTATGCTATATTTTTTTCCATTTACATGTAATTGTAAATAACAGTCCACAATGTAGAAGCATCACATTTCCTTCCTTTTAATTAGAAACTAGATTTCAGAAAACACACAAAGGACTGGTTCCTTCTCACATAGCTTTTGGAATTGAACTGATATGAGTTATGAAACCTCTGTAGACATCAATGGGATACTAAGTCATGTGACTTGAGGTGCAACAGATAATGCCGATGGAAAGGGTTTTTTAAAACTTACAGCAATTCACATGTAGATGTTCTGCTATTTGCATAACCATGCAACAAGATTTCAGCCAATATATTTAATAGATAAAATTTCTTCCTTTCATCATTGGAATAAACGACATTTTAAGTCATTTATTTTATCCAGATCAGATAAAGTTGATACAATATGACTGAATATGAAATGTAGTATGCCCTATAAAAATTCAAACATGGAACATGACATGCTACTATCTTCCAGAATTAATATTTCTGCTGAGGTATGTCTAACTAAGGACAGGTTTGTTTTCATTGTATGCTAAATGTGAGAAGGGGGACACTCATTCCATTCTGCATATCAGAGATGTTCCTCAGTAATTTGAGATATTAATCTTCACTCACATTATCATCATTCCACATCTCTGATATGGGACAACTCAGATACCTGACTCCTCAGCATTGGCTGTAACTTTATATTGTCAGAGGAGAGATTTTGCACATTTTCAAAAGTGCTTTCTGTAAAATGAGAATTTTTTGAAAATGCAATTATTATTGGTGTTGTCCATGATCTAGTAAAAGTGGTAGCACTGGATGATTTGTTTGTCTCTTGGTGATCCACTGGCTTGTCCTTTTGAACTTGCCATGTGTGTGTCTAGTTTCACAAAATATTTTGTTGTTTAGTCGTTTAGTCATGTCCGACTCTTTGTGACCCCATGGACCAGAGCACGCCAGCCCTTCCTGTCTTCCACTGCCTCCTGGAGTTTGGTCAAATTCATGTTGGTAGCTTCAATGACACTGTCCAACCATCTCATCATCTGATGTCCCCTTGTCCTCTTGCCTTCACCCTTTCCCAACATCAGGGTCTTTTCCAGGGAGTCTTCTCTTCTCATCAGATGGCCAAAGTATTGGAGCCTCAGCTTCAGGATCTGTCCTTCCAATGAGCAATCAGGGTTGATTTCCTTTAGAATTTATAAGTTTGTTCTCCTTGCAGTCCATGGGACTCTCAAGAGTCTCCTCCAGCACCACAATTCAAAAGCATCAGTTCTTCAGCAGTCACCCTTTTTTATGGTCCGGTTCTCATTTCCATACATCGCTTGTATCACAAAAGTACAAAATTTCAAATTGCAAAAGTCAAAACAAAAGTAGAATTCCATCTGCTTGGTGCCTCAGTCTTGCAGTGGAGTTGAGATTTGTTATAAAACACAGCAAATTCGAGTTTTAAGAGCAGTGTAACCCCATCCATCACGGGCTAAATCTCTGTTCCATGATCTGCGTGTTGACTGGCCAGGCGTGCCTTTTTCCTATCTGTATTAACTTCAGTTTCTTCACTTTCATGCAAACCTATACTAACCCCATATATTAGTTTAGAATGAAAGCAACTTTCTCAGATTTAGATGGAAAGGAGAGATCAACTTGGTGTCATAAGCACGCGGGAGGCACGGAGCTTCAAACTTACAGCCAACCTCTTCCAGCAGTTACATGTAAATATGAAATAATCTGAGGGACAAGACAGAACCTTGAGTCCCTGGTATCGTTTCCTGAACCCAATCTTCCAAGAAGAAACTGAGGCACAGTAAAGGTGGCAAAAAAAAAAAAAAGGATTGCATTTCATCATACCAGAAAGGTCACTTTGCTGGCAATGATCTCCCTTAAGGCAACCTTTCCTTCCACGGGGGAATCATTCCAGTCTGCCTGCCCCAAGAGCGGCCATGCCACTGGATCAAAAAGATCCAGTTTGGACATAGTTCAGAGTCAGGCCAGTTCATAATCTTCTGTATGTCATGTGATCACCATGGAATAGCTTGCACCAGACTATGCCAGAAGCAGTAAAAATGTGAGCTGATCACTCCCTAAGATAGTGTCTCCAGGTCCCATGCCAGACAGGTGCCCTAGGAGAACACTTTGGTCAATGGTATTGAAAGCTTTCAAGAGGTCCAGTGAAACTAACAGGAACACCCTCCCTGTCATGATGTAGACAATTTGCTAAGTTAACCTAAGTAGTTTTAGTCCCATAATTAGCCTGAAACCAACTGAAATGGGTCCAAAACAAGGTTCCACAATTTATAGAAACAGTCTCTGCACAAAACTAGTGTCCTTTCCTTTAGAAATGTAAAATGCATGTCCACCACAAGCATCAAGAACTGGTTCCTTGTGAAAAAAAAGACGCAAATAGCCCCTTCAGGACAAAACTTCAATCCTTAAAACTCCATACAACAAAAGAGCAACAGTCCTGATTTTGCACAATTTTGTTATTTCTGCTGCTTTGCTTAATGTATGTCTTTGTAGTCATTCTGTTTTGTTGCAGAGAATATAAAAAATACTTATGGAATTTTGAGATCTCTCATCCATGCACGCAAGAGAAATTAGGGTTTATTTTCCCCATGAAGCATATGCCCTGTTTTCCAATGGAATGAGGCTGCTCACAGCCCAGCAAACAGCCTTTGAGAAGACTGTTGGCTTGAAGTTTGGTTTTGCTGTGCAAGAGGATAACCAAAGACTCTTCTTTTCTCATTCCCTCCTTTCCAGCTAAGTCAAGAGGATGGGAAGAGAGGGCAGGGAGAATTTGGATTTGGATCATGTTATACAAGGTTTAGAAATGTGTGTGTGCATACATGTGTGTTTGTGCATGTGTGATATATATGCATAGATGTGCTATCCCCTTAGCCACCCAACCCTCTATAACAAGAACATGTGGTGAAGGGCCAAAGAAAGGGGTATTCCTGTGGCTGTTTCCAGATTATGGAAATCTCTCCCTTGAGCGGTTCAGCTAGGCCTGTCTCTCCTTTCCTTTGTCAGTAGCTGAAAACATATGTCTTTAGCACCTCAGGTATACTCTGCTTAAATTGGCTTTTAGGCAGTCAGCAGGCAATCGTGATGGGGAGGTCTTTTACAATTTAATAAATAGTTTTAAATAATTGCATATCATAGTTCCACATTTGAAGCAATTTCTTTTATTTAAATGTTGATTGTAATTTTTTTTGCATGCCCCATTGAGTCCTCACCCAGAACAAAAGGAAGAATAAACCAAAAAAAGAACACTTTAGGATGACCTCGTGTGTTTCCAACAGGTCGCCAGGTTCTCTTAAAATGTACTTTAAAAAAATATTTGGGGCAGAAACGGGGATACAAAATTCAGGAGGCTATTTTTGTTATGAGTACGAAAAAGTCTGAACACCCATGAAAATTATCCAGTATTTTGGAAAGCAAGATTTACAACACCGTAAGATGAAAGTGTACAAGCTGCAGTACAAATGAGAGCAAAGCCCCCCTTGTTCTTCTCAGGCGTATTAGTGCAATACCCCTGAGCCTATCATTAATATTACTTAGCATGTTCTCTGAGCTAAAAGAGATGTACACTTTGATTAAACCTGTCTTCAGCTCTCTGGCTTAATATGCGGCATCCCTGCAGAATAAAGGTCACCAAGATACTATTTCTGGGGAGAAGAATGGATGGAAAGTGCAAGTAGACATCAGGTCACTCTGTTGATTATCTAGGGCCTTTATAATTTTCTTTGCTAAGCTTTATTAATTATCATCAATCTTGTGATGCCCTTTAAAAAGTAAAAGGCTTGAGTTTTTCCTAGATGCTAGGGTGTCTACCGAAAAAAATATTTTGTGATAGAATGAATGGCTCTAAGTCACCACACACCCATACATATACTTGCCAGGGCCTGAATTGTGCCTGTGATAAAGGCTAAAGTCACGTTGAAGAACATAGGATAATTTATTGTCCCATATCATCTTCACCAACCTGGATCTTTGCAGATACGCTGGACTACAGTTCCCATCATCCCTATTCAACATGGTAAATGGGCTGGGATCATAAGTGATATAGTATAAAATCTGGAGGGACCCATATTAGGGAGGGGTGAACTTTGAAGCTGTTCTAGAAAAAGCCCCAAGCAAAAAAAGAGAAAAAATGAATATAAAGGCATGCTGTTTCCACCATTTTCTCCAGCTTATAATGTTAGCTAGTATATTTAGCGATTTGAGAAGTACTACGTATTCTTCTGTGGTAATGCAAATAGTCTTCCTTTGGAATTGTCTGTAATTTATCTTCACTTGAAGGTAGACACTTTAAGTACATACTAAAAAAGATTTGTGGCTTTCTGTTACGAGGTGTTCTTACAAAGTACTGCAAAGACCTAGGCCAGCACAAAACACCTGTCATGTAAAGACCAAAGAATTAACTTCAGTGGAAAGGTCTTAGTGATGGGGTGCACACATATATTCCTGAAACTTTCCCAGAAGTCTTCGCCGCTATTCCCAGAATTCCAAATTATTTAAACAGTGCTAGCAAGTTTGAGCAGCAGTTTAAGGGATTGATGGAAGAAGGCACAAGACATTGGAGAATAATAGCACATGTACATTATCGATTCTTCCCATGTGGATAGCTTTGTCCTATAGCTTCAAATGCCTTTTGGCACTCCAGGATGTGAAGAGAAGCTTGCAGCTTAGCACATACATATCATAAATCTCAGACTTTGCCTCTCATTCCAAGGTTTGACCTATGAGGCATGCTTTCTGGTAATTTGGTAACTGAAGTCAAACATCATTTGAAATACCTGGTCATCAGGAATCTTACTGAAGAAAACACTTACAAACCAACATTGATGGAAGGAAAAGTAACCATAATAAAGCAATTAAGGAGTACACTCACCCAGTATTCAGTTTATCCAGTCAAATGGTATCTTCATTGGCCTCCATATCTCTAAGCCACCATGATCCTTTGCAGGAGAGAAATTCATTTCTGAAGAGAAAGAGAGGGGAAATCAAAGAAACTAACATTAGATTATTCTTGCTCAATGAAAGTAGCTTGATGTGAAAAAGCAAATCACAAATAAATGATCTTGGCTATCCACCATTGCTACGGAACTCAGTAGATTGTACTCCATTATCTAAAGCAGTCATTTGCAACCTCTTTTTTTGGCCATGGCCATAAACACAATAAGAAAGAAATATAGGTTGAATCAGTATTGCATAAATTGCATAAGAAACCTTATAAGGGTGTGTGTGAAGAACTGTTTCTAGTCTGTGCCCCCTCTTCAAATGTGCCAGAGCCCCCAGGGCCCCTGTTGAGAATGACTGGTCTAAAGAGAAGTTATAGAGAAAATGTACAGCTACTAAATTCAGAATTTGCAAATCTCCTGTTTTTAATTCCCCTCCTGCTATAGATGGGTAAAATGCCAGACATGGATGAATGGCTTTTGATAAATGAAGCCAATAAAAATAGTCCATGCTGCTAGTGAAAAAACTAAGATCTTTTAAGACCTTTTAAAATTATTTGTCCAGTGGTAAAGTCTGACCTATAGGATGAAATGTATTTCTGTCATTTAATCCCCTCAGTGGTTGATAAGGTTCTAAGGAGTATTACAATAAACAAAGAAAAATAATACAGTAGTAACGTAGTCAAGTAAGATCCTTCTTTGTGTATAGTCAAGCACCTGTGCCCGTGAAGTGACATTAGTTCTGGCATGCACACCTCATTGTAGTGAGAACAGGTGACATAATACATTCTTGCAATTGTATTGTGTTTGGTGGATTGAAAAGAATGGCATGTTATATCTTTATATTTGTAAATGCAGATGTAAGTACCCTGTCTCAGCATGTGGAAGGGGAACTATTAATTAATTTTATTTGTATGATCAACAGATCAGATGTGAACAACACAGAACAACCGCATACGAACAAACAGTATCAATAAAACTGTAATATAAATTATGTGCGGCAGACTCTTAGGGCGACACATTCCATAGATAATTGTTAGAAGCATAACCTCACCCCCAATAGATACATATTCATATATGCGTACATGTGTGTTTAGTCGTTTAGTCGTGTCCGACTCTTCGTGACCCCATGTCATACATACATGTATATATCTAAAGGATTAAAGCACCATTTCTTGCCTGCAGGCTAGTGCATGCATACATGTATATATCTAAAGGATTGAAGCACCATTTCTTGCCTGCAGGCTAGTGCTCCTGCTCAGAAGCCCACCACTTTAATCGTTACTGATGGACACTGGTCTGCCAGCAGATAACATGTAAAGTACTCATCATCTTTTCCAGGGATGCTTTGCAAAATTGGATGAATAAAAGTGTCACAGAAACCAGTATAGAAGGATCAATACAACATGGCCAACCGTCTCCACCCCAGCAGCCTCACAAGGACAGAAGCGCTCTTTATAAGGAATATTGTTGTATCTGCCTTCCAGCAGGACTGAATGAAGTATATTAAACTTTGCTAATGTAAAAGCTTTTCTATATTTTGGAAAGGTCAGAATATTCAGATAGCTTGCAGGTAAAAACACCTGACCATACTCTCTATAGCCAGGTTGGACCATAGCTATGCTTACATGGTGTTGCAGCTCATTGTCTGTGATGCGCTGGTGTAGTTCCTGTTTTCCTTTTGTATAGTCCATTAACAAAATAGCACTTATCGAGAGGCCCAAATTATTTAATTTCTCATCCATAGATCTTTCCCATCTGGCCTGAAACTTATCAGTTAATACTAAGGGAGCCAACCCCACAGAGTGAAGAACATTTTAAACCAAAGATTTAGCTTAAGTATCCATGCCTGAGACTCTATCAACATCTGGCCTGTATCTAATCATAAAAGTACATTTGGCACACAACTCAGGAGTCCAAGAATAGTTGACAGAAATTTCATTTGAAAGGGACTCCATTGCAGTAAAATTTCTGTATCTACACCATTGTGCACCATATAACACATTGGCATTGAAGACCTGTATGGCTGATGGTATATGCTGACCTCCTTTTGCAAAGAAAAAAATGTATGAGTGATTTAATACTTCTCTGAGCATTTGCAATAGTGTTGGATAACTGAGCCTTCCAAGATCCTGCGGACTGAAAGATCACACCCAGATATTTATAAGATTTGACTTGCTCAATTAGGTTGTCATTTATTTGTCATTTATGCATGATCCATTTCCTGGTAAACACTAAGACTTTTGATTTATCATAATTAATTACTAACTCCTCCATTTTACAATAGTTGCCCAGGGCTCTTAACACCATAGGCCAACACAGGTTAATGAGAGAATTACATCATCTGTGTATAAGAGAGTAGAGAGGGGCCTATCTGCTAGATTGAGGGGATGAAAGTTAGTTCCAGATAAATTCCTAAGCAAGGAGTTAATATAGATGTTGAACAAAGTGGGAGCCAATACACAGCCTTGTTTGACACCAGCATAGGTGGGGATGGCCTTGGTGAGGTGACCTGCCCTGTTACACCTCACCTTCAACCTGGTTTTTGCATAGAGGCAGAGAATCAGGAGCAGCAGCCGCCTATCAATATTGGTTGTTTCCAACTTCTGCCAAACCTATCTCGTAGGATCATATCAAATGTGGACTTGAGATCAATAAAGGCTGTTTATAGTGCTCCTTTGGTCTTTTTATCCACCTGGTGTAAAACTATACCATGATCTCCTGTAGAGCATCCTGATCTGAATCCTGCTTGCTCATCATCTAGAAGATTTTCCTCTTCCATCAAACTATGTAATTTCTCAAGAGGATGGAGGGCATCCAATTTACTGATAAAGCTTATAAAGCTGATTGGCCTATAATTTGCAGCGTCTGCTCTTTTCCCTTTTTTTATGAATTTGAATGATAATAACAAGCCCCCAGTCCTCTGGTATACATGCAAGGTGGTCAATGCATGTAAATAGTGTTGCTAATACTGGGGCCAACCAATTAATCCTGGCTTTAAGAATCTCAGAAGGAATGTTATCACCCTTGGGTGCTTTGCCTGCTTTAAATTTAGCAATAAATCTGGTAATTTCAGAGATTGAAACTGAGGGCCAGTCAGGGAGATCACAGGATGCAGTTTGTGGAATCAAATGTCCAGATTGTTTTGCAGCATATAGACCAGTGAAATATAGTTCTTAACAGGTATGTATGAATTTGCTGCACCTACTTGACCATCTGACCCTCTTGAGACTATCTCCCAGAAAGTAACAGAGTCATGTGACCTTGATGCTACAATTAATTTATGCCAACTCGTCCTCAGTGCCACATTCTTTTTCTTTTTGATTAGCTTTTCATATTTTTTTTTCTTTAACTGAAACCAATCAGGTGGTAAGGATGGCAGGTTTGATTCCCTATATCTCTTATAAGTTTCTAGTAGTAGATACTTCATTTCCAGACATTCCTGTTCAAACCATGGTTTGGATCTCTGGATTCTACAAAAAGGAGCTTCCTGTCTTATGAATTTTATTATGAATCAAGCCTCCTTGTTAGTGCTGTGACCATTTCTTGATATAGATTGAGAGCCTTTTCAGGGGAACTTGTTTTCAAAAGGGACTCCCACACTCTGAGACAGCTTTCCGAATGCAGGAATGCAGTTGTAACACACTCTGCCTTGGATGACCATCTCACCTGAGATAATCCAATTTCTGTCTCTGTACTGAGTTGCAGTTCGTAATCTGCATGAACATTCTAGCTCTGACCAAACAGTATTGTAATAAGAGGGAGATGGTCACTCTCTGTGTGTATACCAACTTCGAAAGTGAGTACCAGATTTAACAGGTCGTTGGAAATGATAATCAGTAACTGAAGCACCACACCCTCCAAGGAAGGTATATTCCCCAGATCTATCCCCTTCCACTCCTCCATTCAATAGCACTAAATCCAAGCTATTTATCATCCATGAAAGACAGGCCAGAATAGTTACAAATCTGATCTTTGGGCTTTCTAACAGGGATTGGATGTTTCATCTCCATTTCAGGAGTGTCTTCACCAAAATGATGGTAAAGGGCTTCATCGTTTTGACCAGTTCTGGCGTTAAAGTCTCCTGTCAGTATTACAGATGACTTGGGGTGTAAAGATGCCATTCTGCTAATAAAGTTTTGCAGGTCTCCCCACCTATCCTTATTTTGTTGTTTATGCTAGAGTGGAGGAAGATACACATTAATTAACAACAGGGTAAAATACTGAAGCTTAATAACCAGAGACATTGCCATATTGGGTAATGTGGCTAAGCTAATGTTGGTGGCTTGAAACTTCATAGAAACTAATACCCCAAGGCCTCCTTTGACTCTACCTCCCCTGGAACTTGGTTTGGCTTTCAATGTATAACTTTTATAACCCTCTAGCTCCAGTTCTTTTGTCTCCCAGGTCTCTTGGAGGCATACTATATCATATCCCCTAATAAAGTGTTGAAAAGAGGGATCCAGGATTGTGCCTTCCAACCCACGTTGTTCCAAGAAATAAGTGTCAACTGAGAATTTTGTTGAAGAGTTGATGGCCAGTCAGTAATAGGCATTTTCTTACCAAGAGGGAAATCGGTGGAACTCTCTCTCTCTCTCTCTCTCTGGAGGTCCTCCCTGATTTGCCCTTGTCCAGCCTGTTATGTTCCAAAATAGATGTTTTGGTGGGTGGGGAGAAATGGATAATCTGGGTAGTCATTGTATGATTTTAAGTTTTTCTAGTATAACCTCTTGGTCCAGAAACCAAATTCATGAGGTTGTAAGACCTGTAGGCCAAGCCGGTCCTCATTTATTTTTTTGGATAACTAGCCTAGCTGCCTTTTCTGCATCATTATTTGCTTAAATAGTTTTAAAAGTTCCAACCAGCTTTGGTCTTGAAATAATGCAGGTTGGTGAGAACCTAATAGATACTCTTGAGGGTGCAGTTAAACTTTCATGGGGTACTTCTAAACTGCTATTGAATATAAACTCAGGCACAGGTTCATGGATTATCTCACTCACTTCCAGTTGTGAGAGGCTAGGAG